CTTTTGCCGTGGTCTGTCATCCTCGTGTGCGTGGCTTGTCCTTTCCACATCGCCATTCAAGCCATCGGCAGTGTCATCGTCGTCGAGGTTGGTCGCGTCCAGTGAGCTTCCGAAGTCGTCAACATCTGTCGGTCTTGGTGGCTGTCGCACGTGCTGTGTGCACGGTCGCGTGGGCGCAACCACACAGACCATAAGACCGATCGAGGTATTTATGATCGAAACCGGTGGTGACACGTAGCGTGACCTAACTCGGGTGTTGTTCATAATAATTATTGTTAACTTTTTTTTATTCATATTTTTATTATTATTATTTATTATTATTATTAGATTTACATTTCCCACCCCTTGGGCGCCCGTCCTTAATATTGTATATCTTTAGTATCGATTTGTAATAGTACGTCGGCGCTTTACGGCCCGTCATTTACCAAAAGGGCATAGTCTTATTTGTTTTATTATTATAATTATAGTAAGTCACCCGTTCTGTCTTACGAAATCCACTTTATTCCTTTGGGTGGTTTGGGCACGTGTTGCCGTCATTCGGGTCAACCGCACGGCAAGGAACCCGTTGACACAAACATGGGGTATCGTTTTAATAAACGTAGCAATCAAGGTGGATATATAGCCATTTATATACTAATTTATACTTATCTATGATATTCACTTTGGTAACAATAAAAGTATACATTAATGTGGTGGTCACACTGATTTTATTGGATACGATAATTATTTAGCAATAAAGAGTATTAACTTAGCAATCATCTTTGAAAACCACTGAAATTTCGTTATCACAACAAGTCGATTATTGCTAATGTAACCTTCATAAAATACAGATAAATAAGATAATATTTTATTTTAAACGGAATGGTCACGACTGCAAACAGCAGTTCAAACTTCGATGTCAAATAATAATAATTTCGTAACTCAAGTCACCACGTCTATATAACATTTCCATACTGTGAACAGAGCATAGACATAATATAATGGACTACGCCTTGCTAATCTCTTGTCATAGAACTATTGTTGCTCTCATAGAGTAAGAGAGACAGAACTGCATTTGTGGGCCATCATGGAATAATCAACCAATATTTTATTTATTCCAGGAACCATTTATACATGATCATTTAATATTTGATAAATGATAATATAATAGACGTGATAATGATATGATATGATTTATTTTAGTTTTGAGTGTTTTGACATACAAAATTAAATATTAATCAATTAAACCATATTACTAGAAAACAAATTTAACTTTAAAAATTATAGAAAGGTTCATTAACTTTATAATGAACATATTAAATACAAATTGTAGGTATTTCTTCTCTTTTTCATAAAATACTTATAATTTATAATAATCATAAATGTATACAATGTAGGCAATTACAATAAAATACAATTTTTTCATATTTACTATCATTTGTATTACATATTTACATTATATCATATTATACTTTACAATATTATATATTACATTTAAATAATTATAATATAAATAATTAATATTTTATATGAGTTAATGACTAAGCTTAATATATAAAATAATAATATTTGTTGTTACTGATTTTTAAAGTGCATTGTTTTCGTTAGGAATGATCTGATTCTTTCTTTTGGTTGGCTAATAGTTTTATTGAAATGGTGTAACCGTATAGTAAAGTAAGTTTTAAAAATTAAATGTATTATTTGCAATAAATGATTATTTAAAGGTGGTATTCAAGTGGTATTCAAGAATATGATCTGAAAGCATAGGAAAAGTATTTGAATTTTAGAAGTAGCTTTAATTGTAAGTAATTGAATAACATTATTTTTGTTTAGAAAATTTTGATATGATTTGAATACTGTTTCTGCTATTTTACATAAATGTATTACTTCATTTGATGGTTAAGTTAGTTTTCCTCTATTTTTGATGTTAAGTAATTGTAAATTGTTTTCATGCTGTGCATTTTTTACTATAGCTATTGAATATTTGACACAAACAATATTTTTTAAATTTTTTTTACCACAAATCCAGCCATATATTCTATTATTCCTGTGATGCACATATCAATTTTATTTAAATTAAAGTCACTAAAGGGTATTGTCAAAAATTATCTTAATGTCAATCATGTATAGTGTTTCTAAATCACCATTATCATCTGTATCCTCTTCAGAACATAGCACATCTAAAAATTGTGTTTTGGGTTTTATTAAACTTGTTGAACTAACAGATAATATTGGTGTAAGGTCTAAATCTACACTATTGGCTCCAGCAGAAGACACAGTTAGTTCTGTATGAATTATAAGGCGTTTATAAGCAGCTCCAAATTGCATTGCCGTGGGATTATTATTAAAACCTCCTTTTGCCATTATAGCTGAAAAGAACATCTCCAGATAGTCTTGGGAAATTTTATATGTTAGGAAGAATTCACCTGTTTCAAACATATCACCTTGGTCAATTATATTTAAAATACTTGTTAGGCAAACAATAAGCCCATTAAAGCCAGTTTTTCGTCTAGAATTAACCAAAGGTATTCTATTACTTGCCAATGATTTGCTATGTACATCACACTTCAGGCTTTTAATGTAAATTATTGATTCTGATACAAATTTTTTAATATTTACTTTATCTTCCGGTCTTATAGGTTTTTTTAAGGGGGTTTTATTTGGCTGTAGCCCATTTGCGCCCCTAGGGTTATGGACATTTGCGCCCAAAATAAAAAACTTAACACCCTGATTTATAGCCCAAATGCGCCCATTTTGCATGCAACGTTGCCGTTGTTGTTTAAAAATATACAATTCTATGTAAAATCAAAATTAAAAATAAGTAATAATTTTAAAAATAATGTTAAATACTAAACAGTATACATATTATATATACATATATATTATTTATATTGCATTAAATTATTAATTTCAAATAGAAACATTTTTACGTAAAATCAAAATAATTAATAAATACAATTACAATAATATCACATATACATCTAAATTTTAAATAGGTATTATTAATAATCCATTAAATTAAATTTATATAGAAACAAAATAAATAACACATATTAATTGCCACTGTTGTCAGTTGTAGTTTAAGATTGTTTAAAAATATTAAATCCTACGTCAAAAATAATCAAAATTTATAATATAGGTACATTAGTCAATAATAAGGATGTTAATAACACAAAATATAATTAAATTATAATAATATTAAAATAATCATACAGTTATTATAAATTGATTCCCCGAAATTTATAAGAAATTTTTTTTAAGTATTCTATTTTATTTAAGTGTTTTCCTCTGTACTCATTCCACGCTTCATAAGTATGTTGTATTTTTTCTTTTTCTTCTTTACGTCGTGATTTTATTTTACCCTTCTTGATTTCATTTATTTTTAGATATGATTCTACTTGTATAAGTTTTAAATTTTCAATTACACTAGTCAATGGAGGATGAGGTGAATAAAATTGGGAGTTAAAGTGCTTGTGAAATGATTCAGCGCAATTTTTGATGCGAGGTGCGTCTGTTGGAGGTTCAGCCCAAATTGATGGTGGAAATGGACATCCTTTAATGATATAGTTATTAAATACATAATCAGAAAATTCGGATAAATTTGTCAAATTGAAATCTGGAGTTAAGTTTTGTAAATCAAAATAAGCATCTTCCACTTCATTTGACGGTAAAAATGGTAACCCAAAAAATAATGTTAACCATTTAGCGATATCTTTAATTTCGGTTAACTTCGTTTTTGAACTATAGGTTTTGACATACGCACTACAGGTTTTTTTTACACAACGCCAACTTATATCTCCAGAAACAAGGGTTCTACTCACGTGATATTTAAAATAACGAAAAACTAAACAAAGTTTTTGTTTACTTGAATTAGTTATATAAAATTCCATTATAGTAGTACTCACTATTCATGTACTGATGCAACTGACACATATAAAATACAACTGATAAATGCATTTTTATATAATATAATCTTTATCGATTGGGATTTTACAATTTCGATTAGCACGACTAACGACAAAATATTATTATCTTTATCGATTTTGATATTGGTTTCGATTAGATTGGGAAACGATCAAATATTATTTTAGATTTTATAGTTACACGCCAATATACTCAATATATGGCAACGTTGCACGATTTTCACCTGATCTGAATCGGGCGCATATGGGCTATGATTTGGGGCGCAAATGGGCTACGATAAATGGGTTCGGGCGCAAATGGGTTGCGCCGTTTTATTTAACCTTCATCCGGGCGCGCTCCGTTCCATAGCTCCAAAGGGCGCGTGACGGTAATTTACCGCCTCGGAGCTTTTTTTACTTTTGAGCCCAACGTTTCATCTTAAATATTTTAGATGTTGATAAATATTATGAAAAAAATCTTGTACACAATATGTAGTATAGTAATATAATTTATTATAAAAAAAAAAACATTATTAAAACTTCGAATATTGAAAAAAAATATATAAATATTACCTTTACTTAACTTTAGTAACAAATATTAAACATTGAAAAATTAAAAATGTAAATAAAATAAAATTATTAAAACTTCGAACCTTAAAAAAAAAAAATATTAATATAAAGTTAAACATCGTAAATGTAAAAATAAAACAAATTTAAAAAAACATAATCTTCATCAGAATCAACTATTTCGTCATTCTGGCAATTATCACACGTATGTGATGAGTGCTTTTGACAAATGCTCCTGTCACAAGTGATGCATTTTAGTCTAGTTATGTTATTCTTTTTTGAACCGCAAATGTAACAAAAGCATCGTTTGTTTGAAATCTCCTCACTTGTTTTTTTATTATCGACATCTCGGTAGGTATTCAAGAAAACACTCAAATCTTTAGGAAGCGAACAAATTTTTGCTCGTTCTCTCAAGTTTTCATCCATTAGTTCTATGGCCAAATTAAAAATATATTTCCGCCTTACGAAGGTTTCCAAGCAGTTGTTCATCTGATAAATTCTCATGGAGTTTATCCCAGCAATATCCAGATATCGGAAGAAAATTATCATTGGCTACCTTTTTGTTCTTCTTGAAGTTGAAATCCTTGAACACATAAGATCAACAGTGTCTACACCACCTTTTGTGGCATTATAATCCATGACTTGGACTGGCTTTCCAGTTTCGTCATCCGCTTCGTTTTCGTCATGCAATGTCGACAAAACCAAAACAACTTTCTTCTTTTTTGTAACATATGAGACCAAAGTTGAAGTGTCATTGTATCCAAATAAATAACTGCCAGGGACAAAGTTTTTATTTTCTGTCACAAATATAGCTGGTATTTCAGACTTATTCTTTCTCAAAGTTCCAAGGAAAGTTAAGCCAACTGATGACAGATATTCAGCCAAAGGATAACTACTAAACCAATTATCTTTGGTAACATTTCTATTCGTACGCTTTAATGGTTCGGTCAAAATCTTAACAATATCGAATGGCTTATTGGAAGTTTCGTAGGGCCCAGGTTTTTGTGTCCCGCAATAATCATGTTGAATGTGTAAAACGTTTGAGAATCACACATTGAATAAATTTTTATGCCATACTTTGCCGGTTTTTGGGGCATGTACTGTATAAATTTGCAGCGGCCACGAAAAGACACTAACATTTCATCGATAGTAACACTTTCCCCCACATTGTACGCACTTTGGCAATTAGCTACAAAAGCTGAATGAAAATTCCTAATCGGAGCTAGTTTGTCAGATATAGATCGCTCTTGACGAGTGGTGATATCATCGAAACGAAGAGACCTGAGCAACAATTGAAATCTACGTTCGCTAAAATTAGCACGCAAAATTGTCAGGCCTGTTCCATTTTTATTGAAAAATTCGTTAATATCAGCACGATTTCCACGTTTTACGCTTATCAAGAACAAAGCTCCAAATACAGCTTTTATTTCCGATCTTGATGTAGGTTTGTAATCCCTATCTCGAACAGGAGTGTCGGACGATTCAGTTTTTTCATATTTTTTTTGAGCAATAAAAATATTAGTAAACTTGACTATGTCATCTATGATTTCTAAAGAAAAGATTTGGAGGAAACAGTCAAGCCTCGTTTTACAGACCCGGGCTTGTGCCTCAGGACCAGGAATAGTTTTGATAATGTTTTTTGACCTGACTTTCGAAGTTTTTGAAAGTTGTTTGTTGGCCCAAATTGTATCATTATTCCTCCCAATATAAAATGACAAACTTTCCATATCGTGTATATTCTCATCAATATCATCATCCATTCTGTCATACATCTCCTCCTCAGATTCACTATTATGGTCATCTTCTTCAACAGCTTCAGGTTCAAAATCAATATCGTCTTGATCATCAATTTGATAATCTGAATCCGAATCCTCCTCTAGAAGTCGGCAAATATCATTCGGATTTATGAAACGTGCCCTAAGATGAGAATAGATACCAAATTGCACATTAAAATATGTAAAAAAAAAACCTTTAGTAGTAGACAGGTGTTTTTGAAAATTAAAACAAGCTGTCGACGGTGCATCGACAACAGCAGTCAATGTGAAACAAAATATAATAACATTATAACAATAATGATAAATAATAATACAATATTCTGTAAAAATACAGAAGATAGTCTGGACGACACTTTTATTGTATTTTTATTTTATTCATAAAAGAGTCACAATTATTTCTCATCATAATCGAATACGTTATATTGTAAATTCATGAATTATACCAAAAACTGTGTTCAATCTATTTTTGTTTTGTAATAGCAGAATATTACAATTATTAAATGATAATGCTATTAGATACGTTTACTATGGACTTATGGAATATAAATGCAATATACCTAAGAAAAATATGAAATCAATACTTACATTTCGTTGCGATTGCTGGTAGAAAAAAAACACTAATAGGCACGTGTCTGGTAAACTACCGCCAACCACGGACTGTACATGTTTGATGTTGATTGATACGACTGACCGTGAAACAATGTCTAAGGCGACACTGCCATCTAGTGTCATATTGTGTTAACTGAGAATACAGATAACTCCCGTCCTCATTAACACGCGCCAGTAAAAATTCCGAGACCTTTTTGAAAGAAGCGGTAAATTACCGCCCGCGCGCCCGGATGAAGGTTAACCAATTACGAGTGTTTAAAAAATCAAAAATGTCATTAATTGTTTGACAAAAAACTATCGTAGCATCGCAATTTGCAAATTCCTTAAGTTTCATTGTATTTTTACAATATCGTAATGCATCCGCTACACTCCTACTTAAGGTCTGGGCAGCAATACAGACTTTCATTCTTTCTTTTGTGAAGTTAATGTGTCTATTTCTAATTTTTGTGGCAAAATGTATTCCTAATCCATCTTGGATAACTAATAATTTTTCAAGGTATTCCCATTTAATTGCCCTTTCATTTGCATCAAAAAGATTTTTTCAATCACCTAAGGTATTTCTGCAAAGTTTTAACATGTGTGCTGGATCGAGAAAAATGTGAACACTTTTATTTGTGACTGGGTAAGGAAAAAATTTGACAGCATTTTCACTAAATATATTTGCACCGAGCTTATTGGCCATAGTAATATTAGTGGTAGTACCATCAAAAGTAAATGTTCTGACAATTACCCCAGTATCATGTACAGTCTTTAAACATGTATTTACCAATGTTGCTTTATCTTGTAATCCTATACCTTTAATCAGAAAATAACCAACCGTAATTTTCCAATAGGAATTTAGTGCCACTAACATGAACACTAAGGCTTCTGTGGCCTTTAGCAAACCATCATGATTGTCAGCTCCTAAACCATAATTAACATAGCCTTGCAGCCGTTGACCATTAAAATGTGTTGCTTCCTTTATATACATCTCATCCATAATTAAACCACAAACTAATTTCTTCCCCTTTACATTTAATTCATTCACTTTCATCTTTACTGCATTTAATGTTTCAGCTGTAAATCCTGGGGCACCATCTACAGTTGCATACCACTTTCTCAATGTGCTAGGATGGGGTAAACTTTTATTAAAAACTTCCCGAACATACTTGTCAGCCATCGGTGAATAAAAATTTAATGTTAAGGCAAAAGATCTTATAGATGGGTCTATAGTATTTCCAGTTTTTAATTTCAATTGTTTCATTAATACTTCTAATTCCACATTTGGTATAGTTTCCTATCAAGTACAAAACACGTAAATAATTTTATGTAATATTTATATTTTATTCAAGTTGTTACAAAAAATTAATAAATTGAATAAATTATACAAAAATAAAATATATAATTAAGTAATAGCAGTTATGGACTATGGTAGGCATATCTGAATTTAAAAAATTCAGATTATTAGGATTCGTTAAATCCGAATTTAGTAAATCCGGATTTGACAGGTTATCCGGATTATTCAATTCCATTTTTCTGTTCGATGTCTCATTTTCAAATAATAATTATATTTAAATTCTTTAACATACATTTTTGAACGGGTATATTATATTTCTGACGCATTCAACTACCAGTGTTGTTTTGTGCATAGCAAGAAAAATAATTAATTAACCTGAATAATCCAAATAATCCTGATTATTAGTATATCATTATTTTCAACAAACTTTGAGAGTAGTAAAACAGACAGAAATGTTCTTTTCTGCTTTCAAATGATCAATTAACTGGCTCAAGTTCTTAATTTTTGAACTCAGACGATTATTTTTGTTACGTAATTTTTTAATTTTAGATATATATTGTCTGTGTTTTTCTTGTGTCATATTCCAGAATTTTCGGTGACTGTTGGGACTGTATATATCATCAAATGTATGAAAATCACCAATGTAACACTTTCTTTTCCTGTTAAAACAATTAACTATATAAATATTGTAATTTACATACTATAACTATGCAATTCTACAGACCTAGATGTAACTACTGATGTTCTCCTTATATTTTTAGTAGGTAACTGAATGCCAACATCGTCCACAGCTAAAATTATAATAGTATTGAATTAATTAATTATATAAAAGTATATATATATATATATATATACAAATATATTTCATATACATTTTAAAGAAAAATAATTATAATATATACCTTGATTATCATTAATAGTATTTGCGGTATCATCCATACAAGTACTGATACTGTTAATAGGATCATCTAAATGTATCTCTAAATTGGAGAAAAACATAAGAGAACTTTTATGAATAAATAGTTTATATATAGATATTGTGTTTTTAAAAAAGTTTGATTATTATAAATTTTTTCAAATAAAATGTAAAACATGCATTTTTTGATAGTTACTTTTATGATCAGGAGAAATTGGATTATGCAAAACATCAGACATAGACAATGTTACAGTTTCTACATCCATACTAGTGTTAGGAAGTATTTGTTCATTATGAAAAAGTATTCTACGCGATTCTAAAATTAAAATAATTTAATTAATATATGTTTCAATATACCTATTATATATTAATATATTAAAAGCAATTCAAATGCAAACTAGACAAAGAGGATATAAAACAAATCTATTAAGTACTAGCTGAATTACCCTTCGTTGCCGGGTTTAAGTATATAAATGTATGTAACCTGCCAAGATTAAATTTTGTTAAATCTTTTGAAATTTAAATTAATTAAGATTTTTGAAATAATATTTTATACATATTAATTTAGTTTTTAAGATAATGATTATTATCATAACCTATTCGATAAGTTATAGCTATTGGCGGAAGGAGCTTTGTTCACGATAAATTTTAGCACTAAAGGTTCAAAATAAATGTTTTACTAATAGTTTTTCAATATTTTATCTACAAAACTTCTTTGTAGACAATGTTCTTCACTGATCTATTAGTAGGCGACAAAATCACCAAGCTACTGGGTGAGCTTACGCGTGAGTGAGCAAGCTACATAGAACTGCCCATGTGAAAAACAGTTTTCTCGCAAATCTATTCCTGCAAATTTAAGAGTTTGGTCTTGAGACTTGTTTATAGTCATTGCAAAACAGACTTTCAGGGGAAACTGTAATCGTTTAAATTCGAACGGATGATCATTCAGAATTAAAGGGATTCGTGGTACAAACACAGTTTCCCCTTTTGCACATTCTGTTAAAATTGTGGCTTCTACTATATTGCGATGTAAAGCTTTGACTTTAAGCCTGGTCCTATTGCACAGTTTAGGCGGTTTCAAATTTCGCAACAACATAATAGGTATGCCCACACGCAAAATAAGCCTATGATATGGCATGCCCGGTGGTTTCAATGAATTTAAAAATTCAACCGGATAATTAGTTGCATCTTCCATGTTGACCACCGTATCTATAGAAGTATATACTTTTTCTTCCCCTTCAAAAGACATCAGCAGTGTATCATTGATAGCCGCCGCTTGGTCATTTTTTGGAGTGAGTATAGCACGTTCACACAACCATTCCATAGGCTTATCTGTATATATAAAACAGTAAGCTGATTGACTGCTATCAACGCACAGCTCAAACCATTGGACGGATCTGGCTGAAATTTGGCATACAGATAGCTATTATGATGTAGACGTGCGCTAAGAAAGGATTTTTCCAAATTTTGAATTTAAAGGGTTGAAATCGGTAAAAGAAAATGTTTACATGTAATTTGTATTATTAAACCTAACTAACCTAACCTAAAGGTCCTAAGTCGGCGTTAACGCGTTGTCGGCGGATAGAGCCGCGGTAGCACCGTTGTCGTTTATTGTGATTATCCTACATATTATATTTATAGCTGCGCGTGACGAAAACGTTTGCTTATATAAAATGTATGCCCACCTGCTGTAAATTATATGTACTTGGCCGCTTTGTCGTTGTTGTTATCGTAGCGATATCCCAGCGTTCGATAAAGAACCAGTAAACGGTTTCGGTATACAAGTGTAATATAAAACAGCTTACTGCCGGATTAGTTTTTTAGATTTTTCCGTGTTCGGTTTTTGTTGTTAGGAGGATTAATTTAACGTTGTTTAATTTAATTACCTAAGAAATGGCTAAAGAAAGTCTTTTAGTTAATGGAGAACTTGAACAACATACTGTTGTCCCCATTGTTGGCGATGGTGCCTGTTTATTCCGAGCTCTTTCTTTTTTAATACACGGAACACAAGACAATGCGATGGAGGTGCGATCACTAATTGTTGGACATGTGGTGAATGACTGGACCAAGTTTTCATTTATGTCCCACAATAGAAATGGTGATAATTACTCAACAGCCAATGAATAATATGCTGATATGATAAAAAATGAAACTTATGGTGGGCTTTGTAAGTTTATAGCAGCGGGATGTATATTTCCATTTAATTTTAAAGTTTATCGAAATGGTATCTTATACACGAAGTCCGGATCTAATGATTGTCCAGTAAAGCTTTTACGATTTGGACAAGATTTGCCCAATGGACATTTTGATGCTTATTTTCTTACTGCGACAGAAAACAATACTCAGAGTCGTATAGAGAAACTGGTCGATGAACGCGAACATTCACCTATTGCATCTTCAGTACACAGTAACATTTCTGCAAACATTTCACTTTATATTAGGACCTATTTAAAATTTTTAAAAATTATTAATTTAAGTATAATATTTTATTTAGATAAATTGACACAGATAACCATTAAATTCATCTAGATAAGATAATATATAAACACTCATTTTTTTATATAGATAAGATAATTAAATGAATAATATTATCTAGATAATTTATCTAGATAAAATTATCTAGATAATTCCCAAAATTGTTTAATATCAGAAATCTCTAAACAATATAATTTTACGGAAGGAATAAATAAAATATTAAAACAGAGATTTGGAAATAATCAAATGTTAACGTCAAGTAAAATAACAGGTGATATAAAATATTATAAAATAGATAACCAATATGTAATGTTTTTAATAACTAAAAATAAAGATCAACAATTATCAACGTATGAAAATATATATGTAACATTAGTGAACTTGAAACAATTTTGCGAGGAAAATAATATCAGTAATGAATAAACTAGGTCAGTCGCATAATCTAGAATGGGAAAA